AGTATTGCAAAGTATTAGACCAAAAGTATTGCACTACAACATGGTGCAATACTTTTGGTCTAAAAAGCGGACGTTTTTGTTCCATTTTTCTTGTTTGGCTCGGTGAGATCTTACTTTCTAATCTTAGCTGTTGAAATGGATTCAATCTTTTGCAGTTTATGGACTCGTCTCAATGGTTTTTCTGGAGAATATGTTAGTTTTAGTTCAATCTAGACATTTCCTTAAATTTAAGAATAATTTGCTTTTTTGACTCATTTGGGTTTTTTCAGACAAATATTTACTCACAGGCCTCTTGGTTTAAAAATGAAAGTAAATTAAGATGAAGAGAATCTTTGTTGGTCCCAAAGTGGGGAAATTCCATAGTTGCATCACAAGTTATAGAACAGTAGGTACTGTAGATACTGTATGTAGAGAGAGAGAGAGAGAGATCCATCCATAGATAGATAGTTAGACACATAGATAGATACTGTAGATAGATACCAGTGGGGGCGGGTCCCAGCTCAAAAGTGGCCAAAATGACGTGCACTGACATGCTGCAGTACCACCCTGGGCCGATGGGGGTGGACCCAGAAGAGGAATTAGCCAATGCTAACATATAGCATTGGCAGACCTCCCGAAAACGTCTTTACAGGATGGACCAAAAGTTGTCTCTTGGCCAAAGCTCCGTTCCACATGTGTGTCAATGCTGAGGGGGTGGATTTTTTTGGTCCAGTCTAGTTTAGTCGCGGTGAATGTTTGAAGTCTCTCGTTCAAATGAATGGAGCTGCGCCGGCTGACGCATGCACAGATGCGTTTTTTCACAATTTTCTTATGAGCGGGACCACTCGCAGCCATTTTGGATAGCTCCAGTAGAGCACATTTTTTGGCCCATTAGTTAGAACGGCGGAGATAGGCGTCACTCTGTCCGTTAATATATACAGTCTATGATAGATACACAGACAGACAGATAGACACATAGTTAGTTCTGATTGTGTCTAATAACGCTGTAGTCGTCCTCGCTGTGAGAAAGCTAAAGCTAATCTCTTATTTGTAGATCTCTAACTTCTGGAGAAATGTTCATTGTTCTTCTGTTTCGTCCCCAATCGCTGAGATCGCGGTGAGTTCCCGGTAATGTGTGTAACTTCTATAAGACGGCAATATCCAGAGCCCACACAAACAAACCTATATTTCTCTGCGACTTTAATCCGAGAGTAAATTCTGTATTTTCCAATCACACCATGTTTTTGCTTCATAAATCCAACATTTCAGTCTGCGCCGGTGCAACAAAAAAAGTAAAAAACAGCTCCTGCAGCAGAGACTGGGAGCTGCTTCTGTCAATAGGAGTTTTATTGAAATTAATGTCGACGCAGTAAATCCTGAGCCGTGTCTCTCCAACAACAACGACGTTTGTGTATGATTCCAATCACGCATATTAAGCAGCGAGCGGACCATCAATCTTCAGACGCCATTTTGTTACTGATGCTGAAATGATGTTGTAAATGATGTTTGAGAGTCTCCCCCGACACGGAAAGACTGTGTAAACTGTTAGCTCTGTTAGCGCTGTTAGCTTTGGTTAGAGGTAAATGAGATGAACCAGAGGGAGACCAGAGGGAGACGAGAGGGAGACCAGAGGGAGACCAGAGAGAGACCAGAGAGAGACCAGAGAGAGACCAGAGAGAGACTAGAGAGAGAGACCAGGGAGAGACCGGAGAGAGACCAGGGAGAGGCCAGGGAGAGAGACCAGAGAGAGAGACCAGAGAGAGAGACGAGAGAGAGACCAGAGAGAGACCAGAGAGAGACGAGAGAGAGACGAGAGAGAGACGGGAGAGAGACGAGAGAGAGACGAGAGAGAGACGAGAGAGAGACGAGAGAGAGACGAGAGAGAGACGAGAGAGATCAGATTCATTTATTTGCCATTTGCAGTAAAACCACATTGGAAAAACTGTGCAAGACTACCCCGGTGTGCACCAGACAGAGAAGACGACACACACCAGAGCTCTTGCCACGGCGCCATCTTTACGGCGCCATGCGACGAGAGACGAGAGAGACCAGAGAGGGACGAGAGAGAGACTAGAGAGAGACTAGAGGGAGAGGCCAGAGGGAGAAACCAGAGAGAGACCAGAGTCAGAGTAACCGTGAGCTCCGAGTAACCGTGATCTCAGAGTAACCGTGAGCTCTGAGTAACCGTTAGCTCAGAGTTACCGTGATCTCAGAGTAACCGTGATCTCAGAGTAACCGTGAGCTCCGAGTAACCGTGATCTCAGAGTAACCGTGAGCTCAGAGTAACCGTGATCTCAGAGTAACCGTGATCTCAGAGTAACCGTGATCTCAGAGTAACCGTGAGCTCAGAGTAACCGTGATCTCGGAGTAACCGTGAGCTCCGAGTAACCGTTAGCTTAGAGTTACCGTGATCTCAGAGTAACCGTGATCTCAGAGTAACCGTGATCTCAGAGTAACCGTGATCTCGGAGTAACCGTGATCTCAGAGTAACCGTTAGCTCAGAGTTACCGTGAGCTCAGAGTAACCGTGATCTCAGAATAACCGTGAGCTCAGAGTAACCGCTTCGAGTCCCTCAGAGGTGGATCTTTGTAACATTTGATCCTCGGCGTTTAACATTTAAATGGTTACACATGTCGGCACTCTGCCAGGACATCACCTCCGTCCTCTCTAACTCACTTAGACCTGCGTGTGTGTGTGTGGGTGTGTTTGTACGTGGGTGTGTTTGTAAGTGTGTGTGTGTGTACGTGTGTGTGTACGTGTGTGTGTGAGTGTGTGTCTCTCACATCTGCTTTTTCACCTCAGGGAAATTAGTAATCAACCTTTTCAGGAGCGAGCACCTGCACAGGACCCGAGAACCCCCTGTGTAGGCCTAATGTCGGGTCACCCCTGTGTGTGTGAGTGTGTGTGAGTGAGTGTGTGTGAGTGAGCGTGTGTGTCTGAGTGTGTGTGTGAGTGAGCGTGTGTGTGTGTGAGTGAGCGTGTGTGTGTGTCTGTGTGTGAGTGTGTGTCTCTTTAAATCAAACAGTAAAGAAATGCGCTCCCTCATGCTCCCTCCACATACTCCCACACTCCCTCATGCTCTCTCAAGTGCTCACTCCCTCATGCTCTCTCAAGTGCTCTCTCTCCCTCATGCTCTCTCAAGTGCTCTCCCTCCCTCATGCTCTCTCAAGTGCTCTCCCTCCCTCATGCTCTCTCAAGTGCTCTCACTCCCTCATGCTCTCTCAAGTGCTCTCATGTCTCTCCCTCACTCCTCATGCCTCTCAAGTGCTCTCTCTCTCTCTCAAGTGCTCTCTCAAGTGCTCTCCCTCCTCGCCTCTCATGCTCTCTCAAGTGCTCTCCCCCCTCCTCATGCTCTCTCTCAAGTGCTCTCCCTCCCTCATGCTCTCTCAAGTGCTCTCCCTCCCTCCTCTCTGCTCTCTCAAGTGCTCCTCATGCTCCCTCAAGTGCTCCTCATGCTCTCTCAAGTGCTCTCACTCCTCATGCTCTCTCAAGTGCTCTCTCTCCCTCATGCTCTGTCAAGTGCTCTCACTCCCTCATGCTCTCTCAAGTGCTCACTCCCTCATGCTCTCTCAAGTGCTCTCACTCCCCCATGCTCTCTCAAGTGCTCACTCCCTCATGCTCTCTCAAGTGCTCTCCCTCCCTCATGCTCTCTCAAGTGCTCTCACTCCCTCATGCTCTCTCAAGTGCTCTCACTCCCTCATGCTCTCTCAAGTGCTCTCACTCCCTCATGCTCTCTCAAGTGCTCTCCCTCCCTCATGCTCTCTCAAGTGCTCTCACTCCCCCATGCTCTCTCAAGTGCTCTCACTCCCCCATGCTCTCTCAAGTGCTCTCACTCCCTCATGCTCTCTCAAGTGCTCTCACTCCCCCATGCTCTCTCAAGTGCTCTCCCTCCCTCATGCTCTCTCAAGTGCTCTCCCTCCCTCATGCTCTCTCAAGTGCTCTCACTCCCTCATGCTCTCTCAAGTGCTCTCACTCCCTCATGCTCTCTCAAGTGCTCTCACTCCCTCATGCTCTCTCAAGTGCTCTCCCTCCCTCATGCTCTCTCAAGTGCTCTCACTCCCTCATGCTCTCTCAAGTGCTCTCCCTCCCTCATGCTCTCTCAAGTGCTCTCACTCCCTCATGCTCTCTCAAGTGCTCTCTCTCCCTCATGCTCTGTCAAGTGCTCTCCCTCCCTCATGCTCTCTCAAGTGCTCTCCCTCCCTCATGCTCTCTCAAGTGCTCTCACTCCCTCATGCTCTCTCAAGTGCTCTCTCTCCCTCATGCTCTGTCAAGTGCTCTCCCTCCCTCATGCTCTCTCAAGTGCTCTCACTCCCTCATGCTCTCTCAAGTGCTCTCACTCCCTTATGCTCTCTCAAGTGCTCTCACTCCCTTATGCTCTCTCAAGTGCTCTCACTCCCTCATGCTCTCTCAAGTGCTCTCACTCCCTTATGCTCTCTCAAGTGCTCTCACTCCCTTATGCTCTCTCAAGTGCTCTCACTCCCTTATGCCCTGTCAAGTGCTCTCCCTCCCTCATGCTCTCTCAAGTGCTCTCACTCCCTCATGCTCTCTCAAGTGCTCTCACTCCCTCATGCTCTCTTAAGTGCTCTCACTCCCTCATGCTCTTTCAAGTGCTCTCACTCCCTCATGCTCTCTCAAGTGCTCTCCCTCCCTTATGCTCTCTCAAGTGCTCTCCCTCCCTCATGCTCTCTCATGCTCCCTCAGGCTGGTGCTTGACGCTAATCTTCCATTTATCATTTTGACACCGGCGACTTTTTTGAAGTGGAGAAAAATGTTGCAGTCAGCTCTTCCTGTGTGTGTGTGCATGTGTGTGTGTGTGTGCATGTGTGTGTCTGTGTGTGTGTGAGTGTGTCTGGAGCAGAGTTGTGCGCCTGAGAGAATGTGTATGAACCCTGAGCTGGTGCAGATGCTTTGGCGTAGGGTCCGGCCTGTTGCTTGACACAAAAGTGTCGGTAAAGTGCCAGTAAAGTGCCAGTATAATTCCAGTGAAGTGACATTTAGATGACAGTAAAGTGACGGTACAATTATGGTAAAGAGACAGTAAAGTGACTGTAAAGTTGCAGTAAAGTGCCAGTAAAGTGCCAGTGAGGTGCCAGTGAGGTGCCAGTGAAGTGCCAGTGAGGTACCAGTGAGGTGCCAGTGAGTGCCAGTGAGGTGCCAGTGAGGTGCCAGTGAGGTGCCAGTGAGGTGCCAGTGAGGTGCCAGTGAGTGCCAGTGAGGTGCCAGTGTGCATGAGGTGCCAGTGAGGTGCCAGTGAGTGCCAGTGAGGTGCCAGTGAGGTGCCAGTGAGGTGCCAGTGAGGTGCCAGTGAGGTGCCAGTGAGGTGCCAGTGAAGTGCCAGTGAGGTGCCAGTGAAGTGCCAGTGAGGTGCCAGTGAGGTGCCAGTGAAGTGCCAGTGAGGTGCCAGTGAGGTGCCAGTGAAGTGCCAGTGAGGTGCCAGTGAAGTGCCAGTGAGGTGCCAGTGAAGTGCCAGTGAGGTGCCAGTGAGGTGCCAGTGAGGTGCCAGTGAGGTGCCAGTGAGGTGCCAGTGAGGTGCCAGTGAGGTGCCAGTGAGGTGCCAGTGAGGTGCCAGTAAAGTGCCAGTGGACACATGAGGTACAATAGAGTAAATAGTTTGATGTCATAAACGTGTATTAGTTACCGCGGTGGATCCTCTCTCCACACTGTGCGTGGCTCATTAACCGCGGCGGCTCTGAAATATGTAGCAAAACGGCTATCGTGCTAATGTGCTAATCGCAATTAGCTCGGCACTTTATCACTCCATGTCTTAATGAGGTGCAAAAGTACACAGCACCTGCTAATGCGCTCCAATAACGCGGCTGCGGCTAGCGCGCCGATCGATGGAACCGCAGCGCTCTGATGAGGTTGGGGGTTTGAATCCGAGAAAACCAAGACAAAAAAAAGATGTGATTAGTTTAATGCAGGCGGGACTGGTCTCAAATCCATTTATCGCAGAAAGTGGGACCTTTTTTCAGTTCGAGACTCATTTATTTCAGTAATTTGTGCGTCACGAGAGAACGGGCTAATTAATCAAAATGGAGGATTGTGTTGTTATAAGTGCTAGCCCCTTTGAATACTGCTGTTTTGTTAAATCGGTAAATGTGAGTGAAAGCCAGGTCCTATCAGACAGCTGAAGCTAAGCAGGGCAGGGCCTGGTTAGTGCTGTGATGGGAGACCTCTGGGAACAGCAGGTGCCACAGTGGGGCGGATGCGGCTGTAAACTGTGTAAACTGTGGTTGTGTCCTTAGGCAAGACACTTCCCCCACATTAGAGTGAGTCTGGTGCGTGTGTGAATGGTTGGTGGTGGTGGGAGGGGCCAATGGTACAGACTGGTTGCCTCGCTTCTGTCAGTGTGCCCCAGGGCAGCCGTGTATGAAGTCTTTGCGTGTCCAAAAAACCTCCGGAATATTTTAGATTAAGATTTTTTATTGTTCAACAGTAACGTCAGGGTTATAATAAATACAAAAATCTCTAACTTAAGGATAATAAAGAAGCAACTATGAAATCTCTAACTTTAGCTTAGAGACCAGATAGAGACCAGAGGGAGACCAGAGGGAGACCAGTGAGAGACCAGAGAGAGAGACCAGAGAGAGACCAGAGAGAGACCAGATAGAGACCAGAGAGAGACCAGAGAGAGACCAGAGAGAGAGACCAGATAGAGACCAGAGAGAGACCAGAGAGAGACCAGAGAGAGACCAGAGAGAGAGACCAGAGAGAGAGACCAGAGAGAGAGACCAGATAGAGACCAGATAGAGACCAGAGAGAGACCAGAGAGAGACCAGAGAGAGACCAGAGAGAGACCAGAGAGAGAGACCAGAGAGAGAGACCAGAGAGAGAGACCAGATAGAGACCAGATAGAGACCAGATAGAGACCAGAGAGAGACCAGAGAGAGACCAGAGAGAGAGACCAGAGAGAGACCAGAGAGAGACCAGAGAGAGACCAGAGAGAGAGACCAGAGAGAGAGACCAGGGAGAGACCAGATAGAGACCATAGGGAGACCAGAGAGAGAGACCAGAGAGGGAGACCGGAGAGAGACCAGAGACCAGACAGAGAGACCAGAGAGAGACCAGAGAGAGAGACCAGAGAGAGAGACCAGAGAGACCAGAGAGAGACCAGAGAGAGACCAGAGAGAGACCAGAGAGAGAGACCAGAGAGAGACCAGAGAGAGACCAGAGAGACCAGAGAGAGACCAGAGAGAGAGACCAGAGAGAGACCAGAGAGTCCATAGAGAGAGACCAGAGAGAGAGAGAGAGACCAGAGAGAGACCAGAGAGAGACCAGAGAGAGACCAGAGAGTCCATAGAGAGAGACCAGAGAGAGACCAGAGAGAGACCAGACAGAGACCAGAAGCAAGTACAAATACTAAAATGTATATAACTCTAAATCCCAGTTTATTAGAAACACTATAAAAAAGTAAAGGGGTTAAGCAGTAACGTTCATCCGGACACCGCCATCTTTAACGCACACAACAATGATAAAACATGTTCTCTGCGTCCACTGCCTCCGTTAAACCCTTAAACCCGCAAATCACGGCCTCGCTAACGGTCGCTAACGCTACGGGAGCCCAGTACCAGAGGCGGATTTTGCATTTCTGAGATAATTCCTACAGATGACTCCATGTTTTGTTGTTGAAGTTTTGTAAATATAGAGAACAAGTCGTACACTGAAAAAAGTGGTGGAAAATATGTCCAAAATTGCTAAAATTGTATCTTAATTTGAGCAGATTCTGCTTTTAAACGAGATTGGGACAAAGCAAAATTAGCTTGTTTATAAAGATTCAAGTAAAGTCTCTCTTGGAATGAGAAAATAAAGCAGTTATTCTCTCCCATTGGCAATTCTTGTTTTAACACAGTCAGAATGTGCTCAAATTAAAATTAAAACTCTGGATTAAAACATTTATTACCTCATATTTTATAATTGTTTGCAGTGTACACATAGTAAGTCCTTAAGAGTGTAGCGTCTCTAGCTTTAGCATAATAAAGAAGCTAGTATAAAATCTTTATCTTTAGAAGCTAGTATAAATCTCTAGCTTTAGCATAATAAAGAGGCTAGTATATAATCCCTAGCTTTAGCACAATAAAGAAGCTAGTATAAAATCTTTAGCTTTAGCATAATAAAGAAGCTAGTATAAAACTCTAGCGTTAGCATAATAAAGAAGCTAGTATAAAATATCTATCTTTAGCATAATAAAGAAGCTAGTATAAAACTCTAGCTTTAGCATAATAAAGAAGCTAGTATAAAACTCTAGCTTTAGCATAATAAAGAAGCTAGTATAAAACTCTAGCTTTAGCATAATAAAGAAGCTAGTATATAATCTCTAGCTTTAGCATAATAAAGAAGCTAGTATAAAATCTTTATCTTTAGCATAATAAAGATTCAGAAAAAACTACATCCATTGGTATGGGATTACACAGACTAGCTTAAATGTTAGGTCTGTTAGCTTAGCTCGTTTGCTTAGCTTGTTAGCTTAGCTCGTTTGCTTAGCTTGTTAGCTTAGCTCGTTTGCTTAGCTTGTTAGCTTAGCTCGTTTGCTTAGCTTGTTAGCTTAGCTCGTTTGCTTAGCTTGTTAGCTTAGCTCGTTTGCTTAGCTTGTTAGCTTAGCTCGTTTGCTTAGCTTGTTAGCTTAGCTCGTTTGCTTAGCTTGTTAGCTTAGCTCGTTTGCTTAGCTTGTTAGCTTAGCTCGTTTGCTTAGCTTGTTAGCTTAGCTCGGGGATGACCTGACCCACACCTGTGACATTTCAGTGTTGGACTAATATTGTACTAAATCAATGAGAATCTGAACAGAATCTGCATCGATTGTTGTGTTATCGATCTGACAATACCATCGCTCTGGAGGGTGTGTGTGTGTGTGTGTGTGTGTGTGAGTGTGTGAGCGCCCTTCCTGTGTGTGTGTGTTTGTGTGTGCGTGTGTGAGCGCCCTTCCTGTGTGTGTGTGTTTGTGTGTGCGTGTGTGAGCGCCCTTCCTGTGTGTGTGTGTTTGTGTGTGCGTGTGTGTGTGCCCTTCCTGTGTGTGTGTGTTTGTGTGTGCGTGTGTGTGTGCCCTTCCTGTGTGTGTGTGTTTGTGTGTGCGTGTGTGTGTGCCCTTCCTGTGTGAGTGTGTGAGCGCCCTTCCTGTGTGTGTGTGTTTGTGTGTGCGTGTGTGTGTTTGTGTGTGCCCTTCCTGTGTGAGTGAGCGCCCTTCCTGTGTGTGTGTGTTTGAGTGTGTGTGTGTGTGCCCTTCCTGTGTGTGTGTGTGTGTGCGCCCTTCCTGTGTGTGTGTGTACGCGCCTCCTGTCTGTGTGTGTGTTTGAGTGTGCGTGTGTGTGTGTGCCCTTCCTGTGTGTGTGTGTGTGAGCGCCCTTCCTGTGTGTGTGTGTACGCGCCTCCTGTCTGTGTGTGTGTTTGAGTGTGCGTGTGTGTGTGTGCCCTTCCTGTGTGTGTGTGTGTGCGCCCTTCCTGTGTGTGTGTGTACGCGCCTCCTGTCTGTGTGTGTGTTTGAGTGTGCGTGTGTGTGTGTGCCCTTCCTGTGTGTGTGTGTGTGCGCCCTTCCTGTGTGTGTGTGTACGCGCCTCCTGTCTGTGTGTGTGTTTGAGTGTGCGTGTGTGTGTGTGCCCTTCCTGTGTGTGTGTGTGTGCGCCCTTCCTGTGTGTGTGTGTACGCGCCTCCTGTCTGTGTGTGTGTTTGAGTGTGCGTGTGTGTGTGTGCCCTTCCTGTGTGTGTGTGTGCCCTTCCTGTGTGTGTGTGTGTGCGCCCTTCCTGTGTGTGTGTGTACGCGCCTCCTGTCTGTGTGTGTGTTTGAGTGTGCGTGTGTGTGTGTGCCCTTCCTGTGTGTGTGTGTGTGCGCCCTTCCTGTGTGTGTGTGTACGCGCCTCCTGTCTGTGTGTGTGTTTGAGTGTGCGTGTGTGTGCACCCTTCCTGTGTGTGTGTGTGTGCGCCCTTCCTGTGTGTGTGTGTACGCGCCTCCTGTCTGTGTGTGTGTTTGAGTGTGCGTGTGTGTGTGTGCCCTTCCTGTGTGTGTGTGTGCCCTTCCTGTGTGTGTGTGTGTGCGCCCTTCCTGTGTGTGTGTGTACGCGCCTCCTGTCTGTGTGTGTGTTTGAGTGTGCGTGTGTGTGTGTGCCCTTCCTGTGTGTGTGTGTGAGCGCCCTTCCTGTGTGTGTGTGTACGCGCCTCCTGTCTGTGTGTGTGTTTGAGTGTGCGTGTGTGTGTGTGCCCTTCCTGTGTGTGTGTGTGTGTGCGCCCTTCCTGTGTGTGTGTGTACGCGCCTCCTGTCTGTGTGTGTGTTTGAGTGTGCGTGTGTGTGTGTGCCCTTCCTGTGTGTGTGTGTGTGCGCCCTTCCTGTGTGTGTGTGTACGCGCCTCCTGTCTGTGTGTGTGTTTGAGTGTGCGTGTGTGTGTGTGCCCTTCCTGTGTGTGTGTGTGTGCGCCCTTCCTGTGTGTGTGTGTACGCGCCTCCTGTCTGTGTGTGTGTTTGAGTGTGCGTGTGTGTGTGTGCCCTTCCTGTGTGTGTGTGTGCCCTTCCTGTGTGTGTGTGTGTGCGCCCTTCCTGTGTGTGTGTGTACGCGCCTCCTGTCTGTGTGTGTGTTTGAGTGTGCGTGTGTGTGTGTGCCCTTCCTGTGTGTGTGTGTGTGTGCGCCCTTCCTGTGTGT